TCTCTATGTAATTTTCGAAAACCCTCGAAAAAAGTTTGAAGTTTTCTTAGGGTGGTACGGAAAAGTTGAATTTTTGAAAAAGTTGTCTAAAAATCCATCCATTTTTTTTTAATCTTATAATTTGCCATATTTCATTGGTCAGTCTGGAAAAACTGTAGGAATTTTCGAAAAAATGGTGCAGAAAGTGACTTTTGGACCTAAAATCTACATAAAAATCTCTTTAGGTAATTTCCGAAGATGTTTGCAAAAAAGTAGAAATTTTCTTAGGGAAGGGTATTGAAAACTTGAGTTTTTAAAAATATAAAAAAAAAAATTCACACAAAATTCTGGAATTTATTTACTTATTCGAGAAATATGTCGCGTTTATGGCCCCAAAGGAAGATTTTTGAAATCCTTCTTTTTTTAATCCTGTACCTTATCATAAAACCAAAAATGGTGAGAATTTTCGAAACAATTGAACGAAATCTACATAAAATTCTCTAGATAATTTTCGAAAGCGGTCGAAAAATAGTCGAAATTCAAAGAATATAAGGAGTTCATGATCAGTAAGGTTTTTGAAATTCCGTCTTTAAAATCTAATAATTATTATAAATATTTCATTATATAATTCTGGAAAAATGGTAGGAATTTTTGAAAAAATTGCATCGAAAACAAATTCTGGGGGTCGAAATCTAATAAAAGACTATTGAAAAATTGAGATTTTTAAAAAGTTTTTTTAAAATCCTAAAACTTGTCATTTCTGACGATTCTGAAAAAATAGTTGGATTTCTTGAAAAAAATGGGGCGGAAAAAAGCTATTGGATGTTAAAATCTGTATAAAAATTGTTTATATAATTTTCGAAAGAGGTCGAAAAAAGGACGAATTTTTTTAAGGAGGGAATTGAATAACTGAGCTTTTGAAAAAGTTGTCTAAAAATTCACAAAAATTCTGGATTATAGATTTCGATGTCCTGATTTGGAAAATATAGAAGGATTTTAAAAATATTCAATTTGAGATTCATTTTTTTAAGCAATAAATTCGAATTGATTTTGAAAAAATGGTATGAAGTTTTGAAAAATGGAGCCGAAAATAATTTCTGCAGGTTGAAATCTACAAAAGCCTGCAGGTCAAATTTTCGAAAAAGGTTGAAAAATGGTCGAAATTTTCTTAGGGTCGTACGGAAAACTGAAAAGTTCTCCAAAAATTCACAAAAATTCTAAAATATTTATTTCGACTTCTGAATCGACAAATATAGCACATTTATGGTTCCAGGGCAAATTTTTTAAATACTTGAAAAAAGATCCAAATTTTCCTAGAGCAGCAGTTTTGAAAAATTTAGTTTAATTTTTTTTTAAATGTACACAAAATTTGGTAATTATCAACTTATTCGAGAAATATAGCATGTTTATGGTCCCAAAGGAAGATTTTTGAAACATTTCTTTTTTTAAATCTTATACTTTGACATAAAATTCCATTGGGCGATCCTGAAAAAATGGTAAGATTTTTCGAAAAATTTGAACGAAATCTACTTACATAAAAATCTGTCTAGGTAATTTTCGAAAATCGTCAAAAAAAGATGAAATTTTCTTACGAGGTACTGAAAAATTGAGTTTTTGAAATTGTTGTCTAAAAATCAAAACATAATTCTAGAATATAGATCTCGACCTGTTAGTTTGAAAAATATAGCACGTTTAAGGTTCGGGAACACGATTTTTGAATTTTTTTTTAATCTATGTATAATTTGCAATATTTCATTGGGCAAGTAAGACCGAAAGTAACTCTTGCAGCTCGAAATTACATAAAAATCTCTTTAAATAATTTTCGAAAATATTTGAAAAAAGGTTGAACTTTTGTTAGGGGAGAGTATTGAAAAATAGAGTTTTAAAAAAGTTGTTTAAAAATTCATAAGAAATTCTGGAATTGTCGACGTACTGATACGAAAAATATACCACTTTTATCGTCCAGAAGTAAGATGTTTTAAATTATTATTATTTTTTTAATTCTATACTAATTTCATTGGACAATTTTGGAAAACTGGTGAGAATTTTCTAAAAAATGGAAAATAACTTTTGGACGCCGAAATATAATTAAAAATTTCTCCAGGTAATTTTCGAAAAGTAGAAAATTTCCTAGGGGAGAGTATTGAAAATTTGAATTTATTGAAAAAGCTGTTTAAAAATCTACAGAAAATTCTGGAATATACATCTTGATATCCTAATCCGGTAAATGTAGAAGGATTTTAAAAATATTCAATTTGGGATTCGTTTTTTTTTGAAACCATTAAATTATCATATTTCGCTGAGCGATTTTGGAAAAATGGTATCAATTTTTGAAAAAATGGAACCGAAAATAATTTCTGGAGGTCGAAATCTATATAAACTTCTCTCTAAATAATTTTCGAAAATCCTCAAAAAAGGTTGAAATTTTCTTAAGGACTACCGAAAAAGTGTAATTTTGAAAAAGTTGTCTAAAAATCTAAATACAATTCTAGAATCTCGATGTGATATTTCGAAAAATATACCACGTTTTATGATTTGGCAAGTCTGGAAAAATTGTAGGAATTTTCGAAAAAATGGGGCCGAAAATAAATAATTTCTTAGGGGATAGTGTTGAAAAAGTGAGTTTCTGAAAAATTTATTCAAAAGTCTCGACGTCCTAATTCGAAAAATATAGCACTTTTATCGTCCTGAGGTATGATTGTTGAAATTCTTTTTTTTTTAATTCTATATGTTATCATAAAATTTCAGTGGATAATTCTGGAAAACTGGTAAGAATTTTCGAATAAATGGAGAGTTACTTTTGGAACCCAAAATCTACATAAAAATCTCTTCAGGTAATTTTTGAAAATCCTGGAAAAAAGGTCGAAGTTTTCTTAGAGGAGGGTATAGAAAAATTAAGTTTTTGAAAAAAATTGTCTGAAAATCTAAAAAAAAATCAAATATATAAATCTCGAAAAGTATAGAACTTTTATGGTCCCAAAGCAACATTTACAAAAAAAAAAAAATTAATAAGTAAGAATTTTCGAAAAAATTGAACCGTGTGTAAATTTTGGAGGTCAAATCTACATGCAAATCTCTCTAGCTAATTTTCGAAAACGGTCGAAAAATAATAGAAGTTTTCTTAGGGGGTGTATTAAAAAATTGAATTTTCCAAAAAGTTGTCAAAAAATTCACAAAAAATCTTGGAATAGATCTCGACAAGCTGATTCAAAAAATATAAGGCGTTAATTCCTGGGCAAGATTTTTGATATTCCATGTTTAAATCCAGTAAGTACTTCATTATATTATTCTGAAAAAATGATAGGACTTGTCGAAAAAATGGGACCGAAAGTAACTTTTGGAGGTCGAATTTTGCATAAATACCTTTTTAGTTAATTTTCAACAATGTTCATCAAAATGTCGAAATTTTCTTAGGGGAGAGTATTGAAAAGTTGAGTTTTTGAAAAAGTTGTCTAAAAATCCACGAACAAATTTTGAAATACAAATCTTCAAAAGTAGAGCACGTTTATGGTTCCAAAGTGAGATTTTTAAAATTCTTCTTTTTTAATTCTATAATTTGTCATAATTTTTCATTGGGTGATCCTGAAAAAAAAATGGTAAGAATTTTCGAAAAATTTGAAGCGAATGTAATTTCTGAAGATCGAAATCTACATAAAAATTCCTTTAGATATTTTTCTAAAACGGTCGAAAAATGGTCGAAATGAAATCCCATTTTTTTTAATCTAATAATTTATTACAAGTACTTCATTATATTATTCTGGAAAAAATTAGGAATTTTCGCAAAAATGGGACTGAAGGTAACTTCTAAAGGTCGAAATATACATAAAAATGTCTAGGTAATTTTTGAAAAAGTTGTCAAAAAATCCACAAAAATTCTGGGATTTATATTTCATTGGCGATTCTAGAAAATTGATGGAAGTTTTTGAAAAAAAGTGGCTGAAAAAACTACTGGAGGTCAAAATCCACATAAAAATACCTTTAATTAATTTGGGGAAAGCTCGAAAAACGGTCGAAATTTTCTAAGCGCGAATATTGAATAAATGAGTTTTTGAAAAAGTTGCCTAAAAATCCACAAAAATTCTAGAATAATATGTCTTGACTTGCTGAATCGAAAAATTAGCACGTTCTTGGTCCCAGGGCAAGTTTTTTAAAATTATTCGCACTCTGGAAAATTCACAAAAATTCTGGATTATAGAGTTCAAAGCAATAATTTCTGAGGGTTGAAAGAAAGGTCGAAGTTTTTTAAGTGGAGAGTGGAGAAAAATTGAGTTTTCGAAAAAAAAATCTACAAAAAATTCTGGAATATAGATTCCAATGTGCTAATTCGAAAAATATTATTATTTATATTTCATTGGGTGGTTCTGGAAAAATCGTAGGTGTGGCAAAAGTAACTTCTGGAAGCCGAAATCCATACAAAAATATAAAGCAATACATATCGCCTTTAATTTTTTTGGAAGTGACATAAACTTGTTGTTTACAAATAGACTAGTGTCTTTTAACTCAAATGAAGACTGTTTTTCAACTGTGTCAAAAAGTTTTTTTCTGACTTCTTGCTGAAAATTTGGAATTTCTTAAATTCTCCTCCAATTTTCACATCAATTTATGTAACTCCACAGATTAGTAAAATTTTTGAATACCGAAATAACGTGTATCCAGTAAACTAGATCACGATTTTTAAAAAATATTCGACCCTCCAGGCAAATTTACAGTCATAGATATTACTGCACGTGATTTAATTAAATAATTAGTAAATACCAACTGCGCTTTAAACTTGTCTGATGCCTGCATTATTCAGCTTTAAATACGGAGCATTATCTAACACTCGCACCATGATTAATCCAACACCAGCAACCCAACCATATTTTTAAAATCATAATCGTTCTTACGTGAGAACTTATCTGTATCTACGAGACACTAAATTAGAATTACACTGTTTATAATCGCTGCTTAGTCATGAATTTTTGCCACGACATATTAAGTCAACCATGGGGGGGCTTAGCGCACTTTGCATAAGATAACACCTTCTTTCCAAACGCCAAGTTAGTTGTGCTAGTGAGTGCCAAAATTTATGGAGACCCAACCTCTCACAAAACAAGGGTAAAACAGCTTTTTAACGACGAGATAACTGAAAGCTCGTGCTTGTGGTGCTAATAAAATAACCTCTCGTTTCATCACAAAATTAATTTTCAAACTTTTTCAACTAAAACAGGGGGTGTTGGTGCTGAACCTTCAACTTGATTAGTTCACCTAGTTTAGAAAAAAAAGCTGCAATAATTGTTTGTGTGTGTAAAACGTGGTGCCAGTTTTTCGTAGAGAATTTTCAAATATTAATAAAAAATCGAAGCGGTTCGAATCGTCGATGTGACCCAGTTCTCGTTCGCATTGTCTTCGGCACGTGAGCGGATTAGATTTCGCTAATTGATGTCAAGAAATTAGCAAAACAATCGGCTACCGATTGAATGTGTTATGTCGAGTCGAGTACGTGTCGGCTACACAATTTTCTCCAACCCCGTTCTAGTTAACATGTTAATTGAGGAAGCAGAAGTTCTGATTAGAGTTTCGCGTTAATAATTCATATGCGCTCGGTGGCTTCAATCGATGCTAATGTTGTAAAATGTTGGCCATTATGCTCCTGGAAACTGTTGCATAGTTGGGATGCAGACTTGACGGGATTCGGTCTTATTCGTCACGTGGAGCAATTAGCGAAGTTCTGGGGGCTTTGTTATTTGAGAAAACAGGATGTGGCCCGGCAAGTTGGCAGAACTGGAAATATTTTCTTTGTTTATTATATCCCCGCCAACAATGTGATGACGTCATTTCCAGTCTTTGTGATAGTAAATTTGTCTTTATTGTTAGAAAATAAGATATTCTTGTACTTGTGGTCTATGAATCCGTGTTGAGACATCCAAATGCAAAATCGAATGCAGTGAAATCAAAATTTATTCATTTTATACACCCCAAAAAATTGAAATATGTTTATAATGTATCAGTGCACTCATAGTTTTTAGAATTACTTATGCAGGGTGACCCAGAAAAATTAATGAACGAGGCAATTTACTGTATTGCTTAAATTAAAGACTCACTCCCTATGCAAGAAAATTAAGGAATATAGTACGGTTATTATTATTTATGATAACTGTTATCATAAAAAACAAAATTTGCAAACTCAAACCTTGTAATTTTTCGAAAAATGTGTAGTTATTTACCTTCGACGAATTTTTAATTTCTCAATTTTTGGTTTTCTCGACTTAAATTTTTTTTCAATTTTTCAATTGCTCGATTCGCAATTTTCTTCATTTTTCGATTTTTAAAGGTTTCGATTTGCAAGTTGTCAGTTTTACAATTTTTGGTTTTCTCGATTTTTCGTTTTCGATTTTTTGGTTTCTCAATTTTCAGTTTTTTCCTCTGAGAAAATTTGGACCTTATATTGAGCACTTTCGAAAATTACCGAAAGAGATTTTTGTGTAGAGTTTTATACCTCCAAAAGTTACTTTCACTCCCATTTTTTCGAAAATTCTTACCATTTTTTCAGAATCGCTCAATAAAATATTATGACAAATTATAAGATAAAAAAAACAATGAATTTCAAAAATCTTGCTTCGGTACCATAAATATGCTATATCTTTCGCATCGCCACGTCCAGATCTATATTCCAGAATTTTTAGACAACTTTTTCAAAAACTCAACTTTTCAATACTCTCTCCTAAAAAAATTTCTAGATTTTTTCGAGCATTTTCGAAAGTTACCTAAAGAGATCTTCATGTAGAATTCGACCTCCCGAAGTTACTTTTGGTCCCATTTTTTCGAAAACTCCTACCATTTTTCCAAAATAATATAATGAAGTACTTATAATAAATTATTGGATTTAAAAAAAAACACGGAATTTCAAAAATCTTGCTTAGGGAGCATAAACCCCCTATATCTTTTGAATTGGCACGTCAAGATTTAATCCAAAATTTTTTATGAATTGTTTGCCAATTTTTTCAAAAATTCAATGTTTCTGTACTACCTCTAAGAAAATTTCACCTGTTTGTCAACCGTTTTCCAAAAATTAGCGTGAGAGAATTTCATGTAGACTTCGACTTCTAAAATTTACGTACATTTTTTCGAAAATTCTTACCGCCTAATGAACTATGCCATATTAAAAGAAAAAAAAAACAATGAATTTCAAAAATCTTGCTTCGGGATCATAAATATGCTATACTTTTCCAATCGCCACATCCAGATATATATTCCAGAATTTTTAGACAACTTTTTCAAAAACTCAACTTTTCAATACTCTCTCCTAAAAAAATTTCTAGATTTTTTCGAGCATTTTCGAAAGTTACCAAATGAGATCTTCATGTAGAATTCGACCTCCAGAAGTTATTTTCGGTCCCATTTTTTCGAAAACTCCTACCATTTTTCCAAAATAATATAATGAATTACTTATAATAAATTATTGGATTAAAAAAAAAAAAACACGGAATTTCAAAAATCTTGCTTAGGGAGCATAAACGCCCTATATTTTTTGAATTGGTACGTGAAGATCTATTCCAAAATTTTTTATGAATTGTTTGCCAATTTTTTCTAAAATTCAATTTTTCTGTACTACCTCTAAGAAAATTTCAACTATTTGTCAACCGTTTTCGAAAATTAGTTTGAGAGAATTTCATGTAGATTTCGACCTCCAAATTTTTTTTTTTTTGAAAATTCTTACCGCCTAATGAACTATGCCATATTATAAGAAAAAAAAAAACAATGAATTTCAAAAATCTTGCTTCGGGATCATAAAACTGCTATACTTTTCCAATCGCCAGATCCAGATATATATTCCAGAATTTTTAGACAACTTTTTCAAAAACTCAACTTTTCAATACTCTCTCTTAAAAAAATTTCTAGATTTTTTCGAGCATTTTCGAAAGTTACCTAAAGAGATCTTCATGTAGAATTCGACCTCCCGAAGTCACTTTTGGTCCCATTTTTTCGAAAACTCCTACCATTTTTCCAAAATAATATAATGAAGTACTTATAATAAATTATTGGATTTAAAAAAAAAGCACGGAATTCCAAAAATCTTGCTTAGGGAGCATAAACCCCCTATATCTTTTGAATTGGCACGTCAAGATCTAATCCAAAATTTTTTATGAATTGTTTGCCAATTTTTTCAAAAATTCAATTTTTCTGTACTACCTCTAAGAAAATTTCAACTATTTGTCAACCGTTTTCCAAAAATTAGCGTGAGAGAATTTCATGTAGACTTCGACTTCTAAAATTTACGTACATTTTTTCGAAAATTCTTACCGCCTAATGAACTATGCCATATTAAAAGAAAAAAAAACAATGAATTTCAAAAATCTTGCTTCCGGATCATAAATATGCTATACTTTTCCAATCGCCACATCCAGATATATATCCCAGAATTTTTAGACAACTTTTTCAAAAACTCAACTTTTCAATACTCTCTCCTAAAAAAATTTCTAGATTTTTTCGAGCATTTTCGAAAGTTACCAAATGAGATCTTCATGTAGAATTCGACCTCCAGAAGTTACTTTCGGTCCCATTTTTCCGAAAACTCCTACCATTTTTCCAGAATAATATAATGAAATACTTATAATAAATTATTGGATTTAAAAAAAAAGCACGGAATTTCAAAAATCCTGCTTAGGGAGCATAAACGCCCTATATTTTTTGAATTGGCACGTCAAGATCTAATCCAAAATTTTTTATGAATTGTTTGCCAACTTTTTCAAAAATTCAATTTTTCTGTACTACCTCTAAGAAAATTTCAACTATTTGTCAACCGTTTTCCAAAAATTAGCGTGAGAGAATTTCATGTAGACTTCGACCTCTAAAAATTTACGTACATTTTTTCGAAAATTTTTACCGCCTAATGAACTATGCCATATTATAAGAAAAAAAAAAAAACAATGAATTTCGAAAATCTTGCTTCGGGATCATAAATATGCTATACTTTTCCAATCGCCACATCCAGATATATATTCCAAAATTTTTAGACAACTTTTTCAAAAACTCAACTTTTCAATACTCTCTCCTAAAAAAATTTCTAGATTTTTTCGAGCATTCTCGAAAGTTACCAAATGAGATCTTTATGTAGAATTCGACCTCCAGAAGTTACTTTCGGTCCCATTTTTCCGAAAACTCCTACCATTTTTCCAGAATAATATAATGAAATACTTATAATAAATTATTGGATTTAAAAAAAAAAGCACGGAATTCCAAAAATCTTGCTTAGGGAGCATAAACGCCCTATATTTTTTGAATTGGCACGTCAAGATCTAATCTAAAATTTTTTATGAATTGTTTACCAATTTTTTCAAAAACTCAATTTCTCAATACTATCCCCTAAGAAAATGTCGACCTTTTTTTGACCATTTTGGAAAATTATCCAAAAAGATCCTTCTGTAGATTTCGGCCCCCAGAAGTTACTTTCAGTCCCCTTTTTTCCAAAATTCTTACCACTTTTCCAGAATCGACCAATGAAATAGTATGACTAATTTTAGGATTTGAAAAACATATTTTACTTTGAATCGGTACGTCCAGATCTATATTCGAGAATTTTTTGTGAATTTTTCTACAACTTTCCTCCCTAAGAAAATTTCGACCTTTTTTTCGAACATTTTGAAAAACTGTCCAAAGAGATTTTTATGTTGATTTCGGACTCCAGAAGTTACTTTCGGTCTTATTATTTTGAAAATGTTTACCATTTCTCCTGAATCGCCCAGTATTAAAATCTGTCCTGAGAAGTTTGCGAACTTTTTTTGAGCATTTTCAAAAATTACCCAAAGAGATTTTTATGTAAATTTCGGCCTGTAGAAGTTAATTCCGGTCCCATTTTTAGAAAATTCTTACCATTTTTCCAGGATAGCCAAATGAAATATGATAAAATGCGGGATTAAAAAAATATATGTAAAAATTCTTGGTTTATGATCATAAACGCTCTAGATCCTTCGAATTGGCACGTCGTGATGTACATTCCAAAATTTTTTGTAAATTTTGAGAAAAATTTTGAGAAAACTCAGTTTTTCAATGCCTTCCTATAAGAAAATTTTCGAGGACTTTAAAAAACTAACTAGAAAGCTGATGTTTATGTAGAT